TTTATTTCTTGATCATATTTCCATACAGGTTTTATTTCTTGATCTTATCAGATTTTTTTTTTTTTTTTTTTNNNTTTTTTTTTTTTTACAAAACTGTTTGAATGAGAAAAAATTGAAAAAAAAAAACACGTAATTAATGCACTTGATAAGATTAGCAAGTCATTAATTATTGTTGACTATACTGAAATTAGTAAATAGGTTTGCTTATAATATAAGTATAGATTATTATTATTATTATTATTATTATTATTATTATTATTATTATTATATAATTGCTAGCAAAGCAATTAATAAAATGTCATTTGTTTACCCTCCAAAAGATGTTACAAAAGCATATATATTTTATTATTATTTTTTCTTTTAATTAAAACCTTAAACAACTCACTAATCAATGAATATTTAATATCTCTCTCTATATATATGTATAATTGCTAACAAAAAATTTAATAAATTATGTAATTTTCCACCTTTTTTCATTACAATCCAATAAAATTTTTTAAACTAGTAACTGAACTTAATCAATTACTTTTTTAATATAATGGTTAATTAAAGTGTAATCTTTTTCTTGAATTATTCTATTATATAATAGTTATTACTAAAACTAACAAATTATAATTTGCACTAAATGATGAATGAAAGTTGAATAAGTATAAAAAATTATATTGTTTTTTTTTCCTAAACTATTTATTGCTCTTAAATATTTTTTTAATAAGCTAATTTTCTTTAATGGTAAATCAAACCTATTAAACTTTTAATAATAATAATAATACTTTTTAAGATAATCAACAGGTCATGATCTTTCAAATTTATAAAAATTACCTTATTCATTTCATTTATGTAATTAATATAGTGATAAAATAAAATTTTTATCTCCAAGAAATTATTACAGATCGCAATTGATTCAACAATTGGATTGTTGGGGTTATCGGGTTATTAGTCTAATTGCCACCAAGTTTGGTAAATAGTACGTTATTCTTATTAATGACAAAAAATTTAAATGTGATACTATTATCTAATTTATAATTTTAATATTATATATATTCATATGACTTATAATAATTTAAACATTTGTGCATGTGCACAGGATAGAATACTAGTTATTATTATTATTATTACTAGTACGTACCCCGTGCGATGCACGAGATGAAAATATTAAATGAGTTATTTTCACATGTTTTGTCCGTTTAAATATATAAAACAATAGGGTTATCATCTATTTTTCATCTCTTTTAATCAACGTTAAGTATAATAAACAATAAGGTTATAATATATTTTGCACCTCTTTTAATCAACGTTATATTTTTGGTCAAAATATTAAAATAATTAATATATTATTTCACTAACACATTTATCCTAATTTAAATTTGAATTTTAGTATATATATGTATTCCTTGATATAAGAGAGAATGACAATCTTACTTATTCTTGTTCACCATATAATACTTAATTATTATTTTATTATACACTTTATGTCATATACTGTAATTATTATTTATAAAGTTATAGAAGTTGTACGTCTTCTTTTTATTTTTATTTTTATTTTTATTTTATGTAATAAAAAATATTTAATGCACGTTGGTATTATTTATTTATGTAATCAATTTAAAATATGTAAATAAATTTAATATTAAATAGTGTATAAATATTTTACAAAATATAAACATGTTTTTTAGAATATAATTTTGTATACTAATTAAACAACTTTTATTTAGAAAATGTAAAAAACTCGATCCCCTCTATGATCATGATTTTTCTAATTCACATTATAAGAATTTATGGTTTATTTAGCATATCAGCAATGAAAATATATTTTACAAGAATTTAATTATAGAAATAAATCAAAATAAAAAAATGAAAAAATATAATCATGGGTGCCAATAATATACGAAAAAATTCTAAACAATAGTTAATATGTTTCAATTTTAATTTTTTACCATTAGTAAAACTATTTATTGTATCTGGTATCTCTTAAATGGTACATTATATTAATTTAAATCTCTTAAATGGTAAATTATATTAATTTGAAGAACGATTTATTTTTTATATTTAACAAAATAAAGCTTAAGAAACAAATATATTGGCAAAGATTAATTCACAACTTGATATTGTCTGATTACTTGAAAAAAAAATTCTACCTAACCTGTTACGATTGTCCATAAATATTTTTGGATAAAGTGAATATTTGTGGAAAAAAAAACTAATATTATGGTTAGAACTTAAACTATGGTGTAATATTATCTTGACCAAAATATCAAAAGGATCACAGAAATCAATCTTGTAATTTATTATAATGAATATCAATGAAAGTATTACAAATATTAATAAGATAATATTTATCTTGACCAAAGTATTATCAACATTAATCACGAAAATCAATCTTGTAATTTATTATAATAAATACTAATGAAAATACTGCAGATATTAATAAATTTATTTAAATAAATATTTGATCATATGTTATTTGATCTTATTTGAAATCGTGTAAATCGAAACAATTAATGCATATATTTAAAAAAAATTCCAAAAATAGTATGCATTAAAGGTTTCCTAAATTTTTGCTACTATTTTTAGTAAATGGTAATTCTTTTTATATAGATATAGATTAGAATAGGTATCTTAGAGAATAAGTTAGACATTAAATATTATTATAAGAGATCTTGTCTTGTCGGACAAGTTAGGAAATAGGGTTTAGGAGCTTTAAATAAGGACTCCCTATCTATTGTTTTAGATAGTTGATTATGAATAAAAGATGAATTGATATTCGTGTTTAGATGTTTTTGAGATTGCAATCTCATTAATATCGTCCCGCTTCCCTACATCACATTGCCTGCAATGTATGGTTTCATGAGGATCAAAGCGATATTCTGGACCTATTTCTAATACTACTTTAATTAAATCTCACAGGATTTTCACTTGTTAGTTGCTGATCCTCGGAAAGAGAAATTATTCATTGAAGTGAAGGATTCTCTTGGATTTACAGACTTGACTGTGGGTACTGCATTGGTAAGATTTTAAATGTACAAATCTCTGAAGTTAATACGACAAAAAATCTCCAGTGGGAACTACAAATCTCTGAAGTTAATACAACAAAAAATCTCCAGCGGGAACTAAAAAATCTCTGCCCAGCAAGAGTACTTTACCCAACAGCCTAAGTTATTACAAATCTTTGCGTGCATGTTGGATGGAAACATTCACTCTTGACCTAGTGCCTTGACACAACCAAAACAACAACAACAACAACAAAAAATCTCCAGGGGAACTAAAAAATCTCTGCCCAGCAAGAGTACTTTACCCAACAGCCTAAGTTATTACAAACTGAATCTCCATGTTCGTATGCAACAAAAAGTCTCCAAGGGGAACAGCCTAAGTTATTACAAACTGAATCTCCATGTTCATATGCTGTTGACAGCGTCGTATATACTAAATTTTGCTATTATGAAATGTTAATAACAAATAAATGAATCCATTAAAATAAATAGCATATAAGGAGTATCAAATCTGTCAAAATTCTCAAGATTAAGCACCATTTTCAGCATAAGATATCCTGAAGTTGATTTCTTGCGGTTCTTTCATCTCTATCATGCACACTATCAGAAACCTTATTTATGTTCAAGTGAATATCCTCAAGATTCTTAACAATTGAGTGCAATCAGGTTGATCTTGGATCTCTGAAAGACACTGTTCCAGCGGACAGAATAGTGGTACTTCGAGGAGGTTGGAGCCTGTTTGGAAATGGTTCAGCTGGAGAAATTCTATTGCGCTTGACCTACAAAGCATATGTTGAGGATGAAGAAGATGAAAGGTCTGTGAAAGTCTCAACAGATATGGAGGAATCTGAGGATGAGCTATCTGATTCTGATGAGCAGAGTCCAAAGGAATACATTATTGGACCTGACAAGGAATCTTTCATGGATGTTTTAGCAGCATTGTTAGTAAGTGAGGAGTTCCGAGGTATAATGACTTCCGAAACACTGAATGCCAACAGGTCTTTAGATGCTGATATAAGTAGCCCTACATCAGAATCCTATGCCAAAACCGAACTGCCGGCTCCTGCAAATAATAGTGGTAGTTCTCGAGGTAGTCATATTTTGAAAGTGATGTATCCTACTGTTTGGATTTGTTATGTTTCAGTTTATTTATCAATATATTCCCTGTTAACTCCAACCTCTTATTTGCAGGGTCAACTTTGTTTTGGCTTGCCTTTGTCACAAGTATCGCAGTCCTCATAGCTTTGAATATGGGTGGTGCCAATTTGTTTAATCCTTGATACAGTGTGGGTAACGTGACACTAAAGGCACCATTTTTCAGAACCTAGACCTGAATATCTACGCACCACACATGCGCATAATCAATAAGAGGGAAACACGGGGAAAAACAATTGGATTCTTCGCTTCTGTTCATTCTTTATTTTGGCAGGCGGTGTCTTTTTATAACTAATAATGACATTGCTGATTCTAGGATGCTTGTGTCACAGCCAGGTCGAGATTGCTGCTTGCCTATCTTGGATGTACAGAGAAAAGAGAATTACCCTAATATTTCAGCCAGGAAAGGAGAATGTATACTGTTTTTGTTTTACTAGGTTAATTGTTTATTACTTTATTGGCAGAGTGAGTGTGTTTTGTTGGCGGAAAATTTCAGTGCATTACTATAGGTTAGATGTGATAATGTTATATCACTAATTTTGCGCAACCAACCACAATTCATTCACGTTCATCAAAGATTCTGTGGCTTCGAACTACATATACGGTATCTGCAAGCGTAGCAGCCACTAGAATGTTGTTGCAAAGGGTTTTTTTTTAGATGTATTTGTAATGTCTGTACCTCAACTATTATAGCAATCTCAGATAAATGAGCTGGGATATGAGATAATAATTATGTGTAAAAGCTGGCACAACAAGTGCATGCTTATTTCCAGTTCCTGACGATTGTATTCCAATTATTCTTTTTTATTAGGAAATGCTGATGGATGGGTAAAGGATAAATTGCTGATGGGTGAAAGAGAAAATGCCGTGTTAAAAATAACCACTACAAAGGCAAGTACTGCAACACTGAGAAACCAGCAGCAATTTTCCAAACACCAACGAATTATGTCCAACCATAACCCCCACATTTTCATTTTTTTTCTTCACAACATTATACAAGTGGAAAAAGTACCTCAACCCAAGTGTAATGAGCACTCACCCACCGTCATCACCATAACTTAAAAGCCAATGTTCCCTTCTCCTATTTGCTCAAATATACAGTAACCCACGACTCATGTGGCCCGTACCCGATCCAGCCAGTCAACACTCTTCCGGGCTTTCTCCATCTGAACATCGATACTCATCCGGGAATTGTCGTGATACTCCACGCTCCTTCTAGATTTTTCCATTTGTTCGAACGAGACCTTTAACTTGGATAGCTTGTCTTCACTGTTGTTGCCGTAAAATTTGCATTCAAACATTCTCAGCTTTTCAGGCCTGTCAGTACTCCGTCTCGGCTTCTCTATCCTGTTGGTGCTCTTTCTTGGTGCGTCAACACAGTCAGTGCTCCTTCTAGAATATTCTGGATGATCCATGCTTCTTCTCGACATGTGTCTCTGCGAGGGTGGTTTCTCGACAGTGTGAACAAATTTTTTGAGGTGCTTGATGTACTCGGGATACAATTCCAGGTCACAGTGGTTCCCACCTTTGATCCACAAAGGTTCGTATTTTTCTTGGCACAGTTCGTACAGATGTTGCCCGTGGGAGTAGTCAACAACATCATCAGCAGTGCCCTGCATAACACAGAACGTTGGCATTTGTTCCCGGTATAATTGACAAATTAACCTTTGAGGTCTTAACTAATTTTTTTCCAAATCTGATAATGCAGTTTACACATGAGAGTGAAGAATATGGTGTTAATCATTCATGTTTTTTCTCTGCGAACTAGTCTACCGACGCTCACTCAGTCTTGAACTTTGCACCAAAAATCCAGTGACATGCAGCATGCTGACCAAGTTCTTTTCCTCTTCTGACCAAGTTTAGTATAATCATTGATAATATCGAACGCGAATTTTCAAATTTATGAGTTACAGGTGATGGAAATGGTCAAAAGAACCCATTAAAGTCTGCCATGATAATATTAACAATATTTCTCAGGAGTTGAACAAAAACCTCATGAACTAATCCTTCTAACGCATCAAACATATGCATCCTATAAGCGGTTGCTTTACTGACCTAGAATGTGAAGTTTACCAAAGAAAAAAGGTTTAAAAATTTACTTACATGAATAACAAGAGCAGGACACTTGACCAAGGGAATTTTGTCAATGTTCTGCAAATATCTATAATCTATAATCTATAACTACCTTAAAAGTATGAGTAGTTTCTTGAAACTTTTGAAGTGCCAAGAATGCCCTTACTAAAGATAAGTTTTAAGGTTATGAATGTAATTTTCTTAT